ATGTGTAAATCTTCAAGATGGAATTAATTTGTGCCACTTGATAACAACTTTTTCGGGATTTGTAACTGTCTCTTTCCACTGGTTCACTGCTTCCAGGTTAGTACTGTCTTCACTTATCCAAATCTGTAAAGAAACAGTAAACTCATTTAATGTAACAAAGTAACACCTGAGCTCAAATACCATCCTGTCTACTGAGGAAGGATATTTAGAAGTCTGGTTTACATACTTAAAAATTAAATGTCTTCCCATTTTTCCAAAAACATTAAATTTCTTTATTTGAATCCTAAATGTTACTGCATTTAGTTTATTTAGATTAATGATACAATTCTGAAAACTCAATGATACAATTCCAATAAAATTTTATATGAGCACAAAATTTCCCCCCAAAGAATTATTATCTTTTCTTATTCAATGAATCTAAGAGCCCAGTATAATATGGATCCTAGCCACCTCAAAATATTTCTGTTTACTAGGCCTAATCATTATTGAAGTGAGATTGATAATAAATACATATTCTAGAACACCTTTTATATTAACTGTAATTTTAATTGAAATCTTGTCATGTTGATCTGTAGTAAGTAATTTCACAGTACTTATCACTTATGGAAGGAGCCCTAGTGGCGTGGTGGTTACGAGTTGGGCTGTAATACACGAAGTCCACAGTTTGAAACCACCTGCCATGCCTTGGGAGAAAGACGGGGCTTTCTTTCCACTCTGGTAAACAATTACAGTCTTGGAAATTCACAGGCGCAGTTCTACCCTGCCCTAGAGGGTAGCTATGAGTTGGCATGGACTCAATGGTGTGTTTGGTTTTGGTTTGACCATTTCTGTAACTTTAGAAAATAAATGTGAGTGGACTTTGGAAAAACTGTCAATAGCCATACAAACGTAAGGCACTACAGTGTTTACATACCATGGAGGCAAGACAGACTGAGGATCAGAAGACTGGAATCTCAGCTCTAGCACTGATAAATTCTGTTAACTGTGGAATGAAATTATCTGAGGCCAACCTTCTAATTCCTTAAAATAAAGAGACTGGGGCAGAGCGGGTAATTTCTTCAAAGCCTTTCTTCAATCAAAATCTTACAATACATCCCAATACGTAGAATGGATTGGAGGGCATAGGCAGCGATGGGGGTGGGAGAGTTTGATTCCACATGTGGCCGCCATGCTACCCTAGTGGCTCCCAAGGAAACCCAACAAAGTCATAGGAACACACGGTCAACAAAACCCTGTCCAAAATGTTAACTGGAGTCTCAACAACAACAAAAAATCCAGGAGCACCGTAAAGCCTATCCTGAAAATTCACCTGCCATAAATTCCCTATTCCGTGGTTCTCAAAAGCATGCCACATCAGTGGTCGAACTCAAACTCTTTTCCAAATAAGAATAGATGAGGAACAACAAAACTATGACATTGTCAACACATAGAGAGTCACCGAGTTGATTCCTCTTTGAAATGTTACATGAGGATTTGAGGATTTATGTGGCCTGTTCATAGCATCTTATAGTGGAAGCTTTCAAACCCACTATATAGATTTTGGAATTTAAATATGGTTTCAACACAGTGTGGTTAAGATAAAAGATAAACAACAGCGATGCTAATTCAGAACCAACATGTAGAAGGACTGGAAAGCAGCGTCTTATATAAAACATGAGACTTTTTCAGTGGATTCCTCCAATACCAGTGCGGACTATCTAAATATCACAGTCACTGTTCGCAGGGATGCTTTTTAGGAAGTGAAATAACAGTCCAGTTGGTAGCATATGAAGAAACAATGAATCTAGGATCTGAGCCCATATACTCATCCTAAATATAAACTTCATTTGAAGATTTAAATGTTCTCCTCCTTGTACAAGGAAGTAGGCAACAGTACTGAAAATATAACCTTATTTGCAGTTTTTTAAAGTGGAAAGTTCCTAAATAGACATATTTTTTTTAAGGATATAAAGCCTGATTGCTCAGAATCTCCAGTTCATTGTCTTAAGAGGAAAAGTCCAGCAAAAAAAGTTGGCTTTTGTGGTCATGGCAAACCTTAACCCATGCTGCGGAGAACTGTCTTCTTTCTGTCCAACACACAGCTCCTTTGCTAACTAACTGCTTAAATGTGCCCAGAAAAGGCAAGGAAGGAAGGAACTCAAGATAAAACTCATAACCGACCTGGCCCACAAAGTGCTTTCTTCGTACAGAGCTCCGACTGTAAAGCTTAAGGAGAAAAACAATGTCTTTTTCAGTCTGGACCAGTGGAAAAACCATCGTCTCTCCCCACTTGACCCGTCCACTGGTGGCCTTCAGCAAGCGCGTCTTCTTCTTGTAAATCAGATCTCCGGAGCTGAACATTGCCACCTTCACAAAAAAGCCTAGAGGACAGGACATTTTGACATATCAAATGCTAACTTAGATACCATGGAGAGATATGTATCTATATTATACTATACTCCTCAGTCTCCAGTTCTAGGGCTTGGCTATCTGAGCCAAGCCTGGTCAATGATCTAAGGAAAGTCAGTTCTGGGGCTTGTTCTGTACACGTCAATGCTTGAGAGAATGTTGTATCAAAGCCCCTATCAAAGCCTCCCATGATGATTCTGGAGTTATCCATTTCTACTTCTACTTCTAATGTATGTACTACTGTTAGTACATAAAAGCTCAAAATACATCATCTTGGTAGAAGGCCTTTTTTAAAAGTCTGGTGCAATATATCTAACAAAGCATTTGCCATTTCAGCCAGTTGCAGGTGTGCAATTCAGTGACCTTATTCATGTTCCCTGTGTTGTGCCGCCCTTCACAGAAATCCAGTCCTCCTTAAGAATACCTCACCAGACCCCTTCCTGTTCCCCAATGGGGACCCCTAATGAATGTCAGTTTGTAAGCAATCATTGCCTTTTCTGAGTATTTCATAGAAGTGAGATCATACAATGTATGTTCTTTTGTGTTAGACCTATCTCACTTAACATAATGTTTACAAGGTTCACCTGGCTCAAGAGATGTTTGGATGGACCTCATTTTATTTATTGTCTTTTGGCAGACACTCGAAAGAGAACACTGGTATGCAAGCATCTATTTGAGCCTTTGCTTTCAATTCTCTTGAGTACTTAGAGCAGAGTGGAATTACTGGCTCATATCCGTGGGAGAAACATATTCTCATCAAGATTTACAGCCTTGGAAACTCTATGGAGGGTTACCATGAGTCAGAATCGACTTGATGGCAGTGGGATTGAGGTTTTTATAGTAGTTCTGGGTTTAACTTTTTGAGGAATATCCACAGCATTTTCCACACCAGCCATTACAAGCCCACAGCAATGGAAAAAGGCTCCGCTTTTTCCACATCCTCACAAACACTGGGTATTTTCTGTTCCCCTTGTGGTTTGATGTGCACCTAGTGGCTCAGTGATTAACTGGTTTGCTGCTAACCAAATGTCAGCAGCTCAAACCCACTAGCCACTCCAAGGAGAAAGAGAAACCCTATGGGGTAGCACTACTCTGTCCTAAAAGGTGCTGTGAGTTGTCATGCACAGGATGACAGAGGGCTTGGGCTCTTGGCTTTATGACTAAGGATGTGAGCATCTTTTCATGCACTTACTGCTGCTTATAGGTCTTTGGTGGGGTGTTTAAATCATTTTGTAAATGGGTCGTTTGTCTCTTGGGTCATGCCAGATGATCCAAACATGCGAAATGTGCAACCCCCAAACTTGAGGGCAAGGTCCCACTGCCAATGCTGGCCCCACCGAGTCCCTCTAGTAAGACTGGTAGCCCTCCCCGCCATGATGAGGTATGGGAGCCTGTTGGTGCATGTGGCTCACCTAGGAAGGATTGCAGCCTGTCTCTTTTTCAAGCACTGCCTTGCCAATTTGAGTTCCAGTCTGGTCCCGGAGATCCTAACTACTTGGCTACAATTGTTCTTTCCATGGTAATTGTTGTTTTGGTGGAGAGAAGACCTTTACAACTTCCTAATTGGCCACGGTGCATAACTAGACAGTACTTCTGAAAGTGCTCCATCCTGGAAGAAGCTTGCACACCAGCCTTTCTCATTTGGTCTTTACTGTTTGCTTCAATCACACTACTTAGCCCCAGGGAGCTGAGGGCAGCGAGAATCTCCCTGCGGGGTTTGCTGCTTCCCTCCCAGCCTGGCAAGAACCTGGAGGCTGCACGCACTAGGAGGCTGGAGCTGCCTCAGTCCCTCCGGCTGCCCCTGAACAGGTAAGAAGTCACACACAACAGCCCCAGCAAGGGGTGTGTGTTCCCCACGCTCCTGAGCCAAGGGCGTATGGTGTGTGGACCGCAGCCAATACTGAAGGCATTACCGTGGCTCCTCCCTGTCCTCTCTGCCAGGAGGTGGGAGGGAACGAACATCTCAGTAGAGAGAAGCTTCTTGTCATTTGATAACCAGCTGCATCTTGATTCGTTTAGATGCTGTCATTCTTTAACTGGGTTTCAGAGTTCCAAGACCATTGGTTCCACGACTTTTAGCTTGTTTGTCTGTTTTCACTCTCTCTGGCTCTGTCTCTCTCTGTATGTGTAGGTGCACTATTTATGCCACTACCTGGCCTCCCATAGATGTACATTCATCAGCAAAACAAAAAATCTCTTTTGTCTAGTTTAATTACTTTTTGCTTCAATGCTATTTAGTCTAACATAAAATTGCCAAAATTGTTTTGGTTTCTTAACAGCTGTGTTGTATATATAGAAGCAACAATTTATGTTCAACATATATTATTTTGCTCTGAGCATTTTATGGTAAAGACTAAGAATTGCGACCATAATCCACTTTCTCCTTCTTTAGAAAGAGAACTCTGATTGGCCTGAACAGCAAGGAGCAGTGCTAAAACTAAGCAGAGAAGAGAAAGACAGCCTGTGTGGACAACAGGGGAGAAGCGGATGCCATGCCCTAGTCTCTGAATTACTAGATGAATCACAAGATGCACACAGAGAAGATCTGAAGAAAGCGCTTTCAAAGAATAGCCAGTGTCAATGCAAATGGGTAGGGTTAAAAAGCTGTACAATGGCATTGTCCTAGATGGCATCCTGACCCATGACATTGTCAAACGTCATCGATGAAGCTCTTGTTTCTAGGCAAAGCTCTCGTTGCCCTCACTGTCCAGCATTTCCATCTTCATAACTCTTCCCCATTGTTGGGGTTATCCTCCGTCCACCCAAGAGCCCCTCCTGTGTTCATTCAGTCCTTCCGGTGGCTTCCCCTGAGGCTTCACGAGACTTTCTTCTTAGGAAATGTATCTTCCACTATCTCAATTTCAATGATCATCTTTATGTGATAATCTCCAGATATTTAATCCAGCAACTGTCTCCTAGTTATTTCCTGTTGGAAATCCCATCACCATATTCCAATCTCTCTTCTTAGGCTCCAATTAGGGTAGACCCTGTGGTCTGTCTTGCTCCCCGCTCTCAGACATATCTTCCTAGTATGGGGTTTACAATGGTAAGGCAGGTATTGTCTCTGGTAACAATTTATATTCATTACATGAGTAGATGGTGATTCTAGATATAGAAAAAAATAGCATGAGGTTTTTTTAAAATAACATTGGAAAAGAGTGACAAGACAGAAAAAGAGTGACAAGACAGAGTGGTTGAATAAATAAAGGAGACAAAGGCCAGAGAGCAGTCATATCCCATCAGAGACCTGGCGTTAAAAAAGGAAAGCAAGGAATATAGTGGGACCTTAATACTGAAAGATAAGAAGATTTTAATCCCCACTGTCAGAAATGTAGGGAAACATTTATCTTTTACTAATACTTTTTGAAGATTTCATTTTGAATCATGAATATACTTACTCAAAGTCAAAGGCGTTGATGAGCTTGGCAGGTATTGTGCTTCAAGAATTTGTAACTGAATCCTGCTATTTATTGCTTGAAAACAAGTCCCCAATTCAAGCTCTGCATGGCAAACCTGCATATCAAAAAAGTGTCATTGGGTAAAGAAGAATGACGGGTGGGGATATTTCAAAGGTCCAAAGATAGAGATAGACCTAAGGGGATAGAAGTTCAGAAAGCACTGCCTAGCTTTGTGTGTGTGTGTGTGTGTGTGTGTGTGTGTGCTCGTGCCTTAAGCTCTGTTTTATCTATCATTGCCATGCCTGCTTTTTTTTGCTAGCCTTTGCCAACAAAAAACCAAGTTCAAACTCGCTGCCATCAGGTCCATGATGACTCACAGTGACCCTATAGGACAAGGTAGAACTGCCCAGTGAGTTTCCAACACTATAACTCTTTACCGGCATAGAAAGCCTCATCTTTCTTCCAAGGGGTGGCTGGTGAGTTCGAACTGCTGACCTTTCGGATCACTACACCAACAAAGCTAGAGCTATAAGAGAAGGTTAAGAAGATGACTCTCATGGATCCTAAACAGAGAACCTTTCAATTCAGCACGACAAAAAGGCCATTCAAATGAAAGACAAATCCAGTGCTAAGCAGCATTCCTGGAAAACATATCAGTGAAATACACACAAAAGGAGCACCCATTCAGAAGACTTAAGTGCAGACATTTGATTTATGTTTGGTTCTGACTCATGATGCCCTTATGCAGAATGGAAGGAAGAGATTTGTGAACTAGGCCCTGACTTACTATGCTGAATGGAAGGAAGGAAACAAACTAAGAGAGCTAGTGAAAGGAAGCAGTAGCAGATCACCAGGAGAAGGTCAAAGGAAGCCAGAGGCAAACAGTGACATGAAGGAGACCTGGAGGGAGCTTTCAGCCTGGGAAACCCTCTGAGGGGGGCTCTACTCTCTCTCTCAGTCGGAATCAATTGGACAGTGCACCACCACAGCAGCCCCTGTTCCTGTGCTCAGCGGCCAGCCGAGAGGCTGGAGGTTTGGGTCCACCTAGAGGTGCCTCAGCATAAAGGCCTGGTGGTCAGCTTCTGGGAAAGTGTCAGCCACTGAGGAGTCTAGGAAGCACAGTTCGACTCTGGTGCACAGGGCTCACCCTCCATTGGAGTCAACATGATGGCAACTGGTTTAGAGAGGGGAAACTTAAAATGAACTCTTGAGTACTGCTGATCAGTAATGAGAGAATGCTGGTGATTTGTCTGTGAGATTCAACACAAAGCAACCTACTATGGCACTCCAAGATTCTGGAGTGAAAAATAAGGCAGAAACATGAAATTATCCAAAACCACAAAGAATATTATTAACATGTCCAAAAGAGTAGAATAGGAAAAGTGATAACATCATGTTGAGAGACCCTACGGGGGCTCCCGTAGACACACATGGAAGTCTTTGCTGATATTACCGAAAGCTTCTTTATGAAGACATTTCTATTTGATTATCATTCAGTAGTCCCCAATCACGAAGTCATGGTTCATGATGAGGGGAGGAGGGGGAGGACACAAAACTTTTTTATACACATGCCCTTGACCAACGTTTGGGTATTTTCGTAAAACAGTCTTCTAGCTTAAAATTGGTTGTGCCTTAAGAAGCCAAGAGACAGGTTGTGAGAAGTGAGTCACTTAGGAAGCACAAACTCCAATGTTGAGGTTGGAGGTTAAAGTCTAAAATGAAAATCTAAACCAATGATAAAAAATGTTTATTTTGGCAACACATCCTAGGTAAGAATAAACATATGAATCAATTGCTTCTGCTTTTAATCAGAATGAAAATTAATAACTCCTCACAAACTAACTAATTCAGTAGCTACATGTAAAATGAAACCTGTGATTAAAAAATGCTGTTGTCCTTGGCATTTTAAAGATCGGTAATACCTTATTATTTATTTTAAAAAGCATGGAAAAGAACTCTCTTATTGATCATTGTTACTGTAATTTTTGTTCTCACAGTGAAATACCACCGATGAAAATTCCTACAGGTGGCAAAGCTTCACTTATAGTTAGAGAATGGTCAAGTTCATAGACAACAGCTTTGGGTAAGAGTTAATCATTTCTAAATGCCAAGGCCATATCACTAATTCATTGTGTGGGCCAGGACATTAATTCAGACCAGGCCAAATTTCAAATGTTTTTCAATCTTTCAAAAACCAAAAATGATCATGCTGATGAATTAACAAGTATGACGTGTGCATCTGATGAGTACAAAACTAGAGGAATGATCAGACAGGCTCTCTGCTCCTGAGTAATAAATTGTTTTTTAAAGAAAACAAGACTTTATTAGCCTTCCTGAAGCATAGAGACGACCACGATCGGGTAGTGGCTGAGAATCCCTCCTTAGACAGGGCACTGCATCGCTGTTAAAGAGAGGTGCCTGCAGAATCACAATGCCTATGTCTCAACCCTGGCTCCTCAAGCCAGCCAACGGTTCCGACGTCATCTCCTCTAGGAGCAACAGCAGCAAGCTCAGAAGTCTGGGGTATGCATCAAGGCACTGTCAGTGTCTGGTTCAGTCTCACTATGGAGCCGGGGCCATGCTCAGCGACACCGTCAGAGGGGATAGCACCAAAATGACTGTCTATGATTTTTGTGCATTGTTTTGGCAGAAACTGATCATTTCTTATAAAAATATCCCTGCAGCTAAGGAGTACTCTGTGAACTAAGTGTTCAACTGCTAACCACAATGTAGGCAGTTCAAACCCACTAGCTACACTGAGGGCAAACCATAAGGCTGTCTGCTCCCATTGTGATTTAGTCTCGGAAACCCTATGTAGGGTTTAGAACAGACTCAGAGTTAGAATAGACTCAAAGGTAGTGAGTTGATTATGTTGTAGTTACTTATAACATCAAGACAATTTTCGCTGAAGTTCAGCTTCCATGTATCAATATACCTACAAAGCAAAAACCCTTGTGTTGATTTACTTTTTGAACCATCGAATGCTCTCTGTCAGAGCTGTCATTATTACCCAATCACAATGATGATTCAGATCACATGGTTTTGTCCATACAGGCTACCAACATACAGTGGCTTTCCCCATGAGTTAAATGCAGTGGGTGCACAGTGACATCACTGTTAATGATTTCCTCCAATTCAATGTGTCTCCATTCGTGTGACACAACATCATCTGGCCAGTTTCTGAAAAGTACAAATATCTCTGCCTCACACTCAAGAGATTTTTAGTTCATCTGTTCCTGGGAGACATTTTTTTTTTTAACTCTACAGTGATTCGAACGCATAATCAGGTTGAAAAAGCAATTCAAGTCACCTCAAATATTTTTTTGTTAACACAAAAGACAGGAAACCTATAGAAATTCTAAACAATATATAATAAACTTTGATTTATAAGCTTGTGAATAATCTGTATTAATTTTATCATGACATTAAAACTGTATCTTAACTGCTTAGGAATTGCTAAACAACTTAGTAGAAGTTAGCAGAAGCAAGTATCAGATCTCAACAAAAAAAAATCAATCATCACAAACAAACACTCAAATTCACAAAAAATAATGAAGTTCACTGGTCTAATAGAGATTAGGCAAGTCCCCAAGACTATTTCCTTAAATCACCTAACATGAACCTGAAGCTACTCATGGAGAACACCTCTTCACCTAGTAATAGACTGTCCCATAAAGTCACTAGTAATGCCCACGGGTCTGTGTATACGCATGTATATGCAATGTGCTCCTTGCAACAATCCACTCCACGAGAGTAAAGGGGCAGCATGTGCCCCCAAACAAAGAAGGCAGCAAAGGGCAGGGAGACCGGGCAAACAGAAATAGGAGCTCAGGGGGGAAACAGAGAGAGAGCGCGCACATCTGGAGACAGCAACCAACGTCACGGAACAATCTGTTTGTGAATTACTGAATGGAAAATGAACATGCTATGTAAACTTTGCCCTAGAGCACAAAAAAAGTTTAAAAATTAATTGGCACTAAAGATAATGACTGTTTTACTAACAAAAAAGAGATCTCTGTCTCAGAGTGATTCCCAATTGAGTCTGGTGTTTATAATTTTTTCCCTAATCTATCAACTATGAAACAAAAACAAGTATATATGTACACACATATACATTTATAATCCCCACTTTAGAGTGTTCTCATGCTCAGGGCATATCTAACATTCCTTGGCTTGTGTGACCGATGGCCCAGGAGAAGAGAAACCAGAGGTTATTCTTCCACAGAGGAAGGGAAGGGTTTCTGTTGGTCAATGATCATTATTGTAAACAGAAACTGTTATCTTTATCATTATCACCATTTGAAAACCTTCCTGACCCTTTAATATGGATCCAAAATGTACAGGCTTTCCTCCAACAAATAAACAAAGACCCATTACCGGGGGCCGATGACATTACTGTCACTTACTGAAATCTTTGACGGTGGCATGATGTCCAAAGAGTAGTCTACTTCCTGAGTGCTCAGAGTTCTCAGGGAGAGTGAGCATTCGCCAATGGTTTTCTTCCTGGGAGTCTGAGTTTGAATCTTAAAAACAAGTCTTACTGTTTGTAGACTTTGGAGTTTAATTGTAAATACAAAAGTTTCCATAAATTCAATAGCCTTAAAACAAAACAAAAAGACATATATACATTTTTAAAATTATAAAACAAAACAAAAAGACATATATAAATTTTAAAAATGTAAAGTCTATATGTCAATGCAAAATTTACAAAACATTTTATAATCTAGGTAGAGAATATTTAATAGGTTTACAAACCCCCCAAATTTTAATGTAAATGAAAACGTGAGTGGTTATGATTTGCTTTCCTAGAATTTACTCTTTGCAACACTCCCCTTGTCTATCATAGGCTTGACTTCACATTTTGTTGATGCTTATTCCACGCTTCCCAGTCAGAAGATCAATCCTATAGGAGGATGTGAGTTTAACTCTCTACCTGCATATCTTCTTCAGGCAGCAAGTCAGCGTTTCTTTTCAGATGTTCTTTTGTAAGGTTGCTTTTAATATTCTAAAGCCTAGGCTTACCACGTACTCTCATCTTAACATTAGATAACTGTTTGTAATTAATGTCCTTTTTTCTATCTATAGTATCTCTTTTTTTACTATAGGAGGAGCTCATTGGCAGGATACCTGGGCCACTAGCATCACCATGTTTAATATGTGCCCTAATTTTCACTGTCATTATAAGTGCTTGTATCTATCCAGTTAGATTTGCATTCTGAATGTCTCACAACCACTTGAGCCCTTGTTACTTTCAGAATCTCAAACCCCAGGTATGAACAAATAATATACATAATCCAAACCCAAACCAAACCCACTGCCATCGAGTGGATGCCAATCCACAGTGACCCGACCAGACAGGGAGAAGTGTCCCCATGGGTTTCTGAGACTGTAATGCTTTACAGCAGTCGAAAGGCTTGTGAAAGGTTTTGGCTATTTATGTTCACTGAGCTTTCAAAGGAAGGGTGTTGGTTTTGCTTTGTATTCTCTGCATTTTGCCATAATAGAAGTCTCTCAAAGAAAAATCAAACCGGATCTAGCATCATAAAATTTGAAAATAAAATATTTCCTCCAGGTTTTAATGAGATCACTTTGCCCAGTTAACTTAATTTTACTTGAAAATCCCAAAGTAAAATTGTTTATAAACACTAAAAAGCATTCACTAATGAACAGCAGCATCATAACTAAATTAAGATTTCTTTTTCTTCTGGATTTTCTATGTGTGGGACTGCAAGTTGTTCGAAACCACCAGCCACTCCAAGGAGAAAGATAAGGCTCTGTACCCCATAAAGAGTTTCAGTCTCAGATGCTCACAGGGGGAAGATGGACCCTGTCCTATAGGGTCGTTTGTAAGTCGGCATTGACTCAATGGCAGCGAGGTTAGTCTTTTGGAGATTTTCTACAGTATTTATTTTCATAAAATGAGGCTGTAAAATATACACACAATTTTGACTATTGCCTTCTTATTTAGAATTGTTTCCATGTCCTTAAAAACTCTTCTTAAACATTGTTTTTTTGTTAATGGTCCAATATCCCAATACACAGTCACATAGGCCGACCTTGGAAAGTTAGATAGTGGGCTTGGTTCCTGACCACCGCAATGAGGTGAATGCTGTCATAAAGTGAGCTACACACATTTTAGGTATTCCAGTGCATATAAAACTCATGTTTCCACTATAGTCTATTAAGTGGACAGTAGCATTATAATGCTTAAAATATTGTGAGCATTGCCAGCGTGTGACACACAGACACGAAGGGAGCACATGCTGCTGAGAAAATACTGCTGGCAGGTTTACTCCCCCGCGCCAAACTTCAGTTGGTAAGAAACAGCGTCTGCAACGCACAGTGAAGCAAACGCAATAAAGCAAGGTGTGCCTGCCAGCAGTTTCCTCAACCGTTTCTCTACACGAGCTTTTGGAGCCTCTCTAACGTTCCACGGTTACCATTAACAGCATTGCGTTTTTATTATATCCATGAGATATTCCACCTACTACATCAATAAGGATAAATATCTTAAGGTTTTGACGTTTCTTGTTAAAATTATTTATAGAAAATTGTATGTCCTAAAGTACTTTGAGGGTTTTCTAATAGAAACAAGTAAAATCAATCAATGAGAAAATAAGAAGGGAAGAAAACTATGTACATAATGGATGTATGTATGGATTGTGATAAGAGTTGTACAAGCCCCCAATAAAGTGATTTAAAATATATATGTACATTAAGTTTATATTGCTATGATTACTGGTAATTTTTCATGCTTACTAGTCATTTGAATCACTTTACTTTTTCAAATGATATATTCTTGTAGGTGAATTTTTTTACATGGAAAACACTAACCTTTCAAACCCACATCAGAAGGCAAAAATGAACATGTATTGAATATATATACTTTATTAAATTAATGTGAAATCTGGAATTTATAAAACCAAACTCAGAATCAGAAGTCACTTAACTGCAGAAATTATAAGTATTTCAAAGAAATGAACTGTAATCATACAAATATTTCTCAAAGCCAAAGTAAAGCAGGTATGAGAGATAAAAATATAGACATTTATTCCCCTTTTATTTAAGAAAAGTAAATTGTTTTCTTACAGACCACTTATCTCCTATCTAGTAAGATTTTCTTTTTAAATGTGTCTTAATATTTGACACCAAATTTGAGACTTAAAATGATCTTTAAAAGCAAAGGGTACATTATTTGTAGGTTTTCCCCCAAAGAAAACATGTTCTTATTACAATTGCTCGATACTGATAAAAGTAACAAACAGGAGAAAAACAGAACAAGAAACTCAGACCCAAACAGAAGCACCAGCCACTTACATTCGAGCCTTCTTTAGGTGAACACTTGAAATGCACGGGTTTAGGCAAAGTTAGTATTCCTTTTAGCAAAATGGTAGGAGTGTCTCCATAACTAGAGGGCCAGACTAAATCTTTGCACTAAAATAAAATTTGAAATACAGTATAAAGTTTAGAAGAACTGTTAACAATGTAAATATTTTATATACTTCTTGAGTTAATAACTATAAACAAGAAAAGTAACTTTTAGTCTACTGAGACTTCTTGTTCCATTCACATTAAAATAATCTGAAATGTTGTATTACAGTCATCAAGTCAATTTCCCTCTGGAAGCAAAGTCAGATATTGTTATCCTACATATGGTTTTATTTTCTTTTGCTCTTTCATTGAGCATCATTTTCTGCAAAATACTACAGAACTCTAACTCCAAAGAAGGTCCTGGCCCATTCTCCGTAGGAGTGCAACAGCAGATACGTAGAATGTTTAAATAGTTGGTCTTATAAGACAAGTCAGTATTAGCTATGTTGGGTTACCTGTAACACTGAGATCCAGATCTGCTCCAGTGAAGAATGATAGAACAGTTTCACATTCAATCTCCCAAACTCTCTTTCATCGCCTGATAGTGTAATTGTATCTGAATTGTAGAAGGACAAAGACATTTGTAGTGTTATACAGTCCTAAATCATTAAACTGATACAATTGAGTTTGAAGAGCACAATTGAAAATGTTCCAATTTTTTAAAAAAAATTTTTTGTTGCTGTTGTGGAAAACATACACAGCAAAAATAGACACCAAGCCTTTCTACATGCATATTGGTGACACTGGGCACGTTCTTTCAGGTGTGCAACTATTTCACTCTCCTTTTCTGAGCTGTTCCTTCCCTTTCACATAAACGCTCTGCCCACCAAGCTTCCTAGGTCATCTTCCAAGTTGCTGCTGTCAAATCTGATCCTAGGTAGATAATTCTTCAATAACTGAATGTTCAAGGCAGACTTTTTTTATTAAACTATTATTTAGTTTTAAGATGATTTCAAGGGATATTTTAGTTTACGGTTAAAGTATTTCAGGGCAATAGTCTCAGAGGTTCATCCAGCCTCCATGAGTACAGAAAGTACTCAGATAATTTGAAATTCTGTTCCTATTTAACCCCCTTTTGAGCAAGATTCTTCTATAGTTTCTTTCAGAAAAACATCAGTCATGGTAACTAGGCCTCATCTAGTCTTCTGGTTTCATGGCAAAGGCAGCAGAAGTTCAGGGTAGCAATTAGTCATACATTCCAGAAAAATACTACTACTGCTTTAAGTTGCCATTTAATAGGACACAGTTATACTCCATCATTTTTTATTGGTGGCCTGAGGCTCAAAATTTTAATCCTATAATTTAAGTTCAAACTAAGAAAAACTTTTCTAAATTACATTTATAATACCGTAATACTATATGATTTTAGAAGTTCTTTCAATCATGTACTTTAAAGGAAACAAATAAATGATAGCTAAGTATGTCACAAGTTTTTTTTAAAGACACAGTAATGGTTAAGCTCTGAGAAATGAAGCATATGAGCTCAGTATCAATATCTGCCACCACTGCCAACATATATATTATCCTTGGAGTCTTTTTCATCTGACATAGACTATAATTTATTATTAGGCAGAAAGAATTTCTGTAAGCAGAAAACCCAAGATACTTTATTGCTTACCCAGGCTTCTGTTACTCCCCTGAGAATTCTTCCTTGAAGAAGAACTACTCGGCACACTGGACAGTGAGTCGTGTCTCTAGAAATACAATTGCTCAGTTAGAGACTGCATGTCAGACATGAAGGCTCTGATTCTTGTACTGGTCAAACCACATGCCAACCATCTGGCATGTTACCAGTTAGAATGTCCCACTTTTACGCAGTGAAAGTAAAAAAAAGCTGTGTGTGTGTGTGTGTGTGTGTGTGTGTGTGTGTATGTGTGTGTGTGTGTGTGTGTATGTGTGTGTGTGTTAAAACATTCATCATTGTGCTTTTGGGGTTACTTTTTTGGTGTAAAATATCATAACCATGGCTCCAAAGAAAATTAAAGATACTAACAGCAAAGCTAAGAGGAAAACTGAGAATCACGATAGAGTTAAAGAACGAAATCACTGCACAATTTGAATCAGGTTGCCGTGTGTCTGATTTGGTGGCTGGCTATAACGTGGCTAAGTCGACATCATCAACATTCTTGAAAAAAAGAAAAGGGATGAAAGTGGCTAATGTACAAAAGGTGTGAAGTCATGAACCACGAGGCACAGAACCCAGACCATGGAGGAGGTTGAAAAGTCAACTGTTCACTTGGATACATCGGAAACAACTCGACGGCAACAGCATATTCGAGACAGTGACACGCGAGAAGGCTGAGAGCCTCTAGAGATTTAATGAAAAACGTTGCTGGAGTGAGTGCTGAGTCACCTGAAGTGTTCAACCAGTCATGGCTGGTTTGAAGAATTCGAAGACATGAACAGGCCTAGACAGGGTGGTGAGCCATGGGGAATGGGTGCAAATAAAGATAAAGCTGATATGTTTGTGGCTGAATTAGCTGAATATGTGGAAGCTGAAAACGTTTCATTCTACAGCAAGTGTTCAACTGACAAAATCGGACTTTCTGGGGGAAAAATGCCCCAAAGGACCTTCATTAGTACTGAGCAAAAGGCACGGCCAGGCCACAAGCCTGGACAAGAGGCTCACCCTGGTGCTGCGTGAGAGTGCTAGTGGGGGTTTTCAAGTGAAGCTCGTGCTAGCGCGCCATTCCGAAAACCCAGGGGCTTTTAAACAATAAAACATAATGAAAAAGAAGGTAATTTTATTACTGTATTCTGTTGTTATTTAATGTACTATATTTGTTCTATTTAGGTGTTTTAGGGGGAATTTCCACAACCTAGGGTTGTTAACGTTGCATTAAAGTCCTGTGAAAATTAATTTATAAGTGTACTTTCTGAGCCCGAGAACCAATTATTTGGTTTTCCATTATTTCTTATGGGAAAAATAAGTTTGGTTCTTGAACTTTTCAGTGTTCAAACATGAATATGCAATGAATTGAATTAGACAATCGAGGTGTCCCTGTTCATATATTCATATATTCAAGAGCCCTGGTGGAAAATGGGATCCAAATTGAGCTGCTAACTTCAAGGTCGATAGTTTGAACCCAACAGTTAACTCCACAGGAGAAATCCCACTGCTTCAAGCTTCCCTAGAATGCAGACCAAACAAGAAATGTAAAGTTGACAGAAAATAAACAAAAAATGTATGCTTTGTAGTAGTGATCTGAGGGCCTCCTCAAACAATGCCTATGGGGGACACCCTAGTATTTATTATTCAGTGATTACAACAGGTATTCAGCCTGCTGTTCTTAAATGTAAATGCCACAATTTCTGAATTTTTCACTTGAATAAGTTATTATATGTAATTAAAAACATATAAATAATTTACCTGGATGAATCGCTGAGATGAACTTGCAAGATCAAACATAGATTTGCTTAGCCCAGGGGAACCAGGAAGTTTATTGGTCCTTAAATCACAAACTACAAATTAACATGAGAAAATTAGTAATTTTTATACTACAAGAGGAGAAATACTGGAATTAAATTTAATTAATATTAATTAAATTATTGATATGCTTGCCATAGGTGTACCCCAGGAATATTAGGTACAAGTCTATGTAAGAGGTGCAACCTTACAGTGAAATCAGCACAAATCAAACTCTGTAATGTCCACATCAAGTGTCAAAGAGCAGTATGTCTGCCTCCCTTCTTCAATTCTTCCTCCCAGGAAGAATGCCAGCTTCTAACACAGCAGTTCTCAACCTGTGGGTCGAGACCCCTTTGGGGGTTGAACGACCCTTTCACAGAGGTGGCCCGAATCATAGCAGTAGCAAAATAACAGTTATGAAGTAGCAATGAAAATAATTTTATGGTTGGGGGGGGGGGTCACCACCACATGAGGAACTGTATTAAAGGGTCACAGCATTAGGAAGGTTATGAACCACTGTTCTAAAAGGATGCTAGTTTCTGTGCTAAAAACAATTCGGGTGTCATTTAAAGAGCACTTATTGCATATGGAAACCAATACTGAAACCCGTGTGTTCCTGCATTTCTAACTTCCCTCCTAAACTACGTGTGTTTTGAAGAATGGGACTCTGGGTCCTGGTTGTGATACTAGCACAGTACTGAGCATAAGGCAGGCCAATAAATAAACATTTCTTCTTTAAGGACTCACACTAATGCGGTGTTTGAGACAGCAATACCTCTCACAAAATCTTGACTGTTGATACTGATACAGTCTCAACTATGAAACTAAATGCTGTATACTCATTTAGACTTTTTCATTTTCTTTACTTACATTTCTACTCATATCCTGGGTTTTGAAGCCCATTATTTTCATCAACTAGAGGAGAAAACTGAGAAATCGAATGTCTATTGTATAATTAATGATAAACAGCATAAAGAGGAGCTTTGAGGATGCAGTGGGTTATGCATTGGGCTGTGTGGTAGTTGGGTGATTTTGTCAACTAGACACTCCTGGCTAGGGATGACTTGAGGCTTTCTGAGTCTATGAAAATGTACAGCCTTGGAAACCCACAGGGGCAGTTCTACCCCATCCCATAGGGTCGCTATGAGTTGGAGTTGGCTTGATGGCAGGGAGTTGATTGAAATGACTTAAAGGATACTGATGTCACAGTGGAATAAATGTTGGGCTGCTAAGTGCAAGGTCAGTGGTTCAAACTCTCCAGTAAGAAAGATGAGGCTGTCTGTTCTCGACGATTTAACCCTAAGGTGCAGCTCTACTCCATCCAATAGGGTTACTGTGAGTCAGAATGGACTCAATGGCAGTAGGCTTGGGTGTTTTGTTAGATGTTATTTAAAAATGTATACAAGATAATGCAAAAACAAAACCACTTCAAAAATAAAGAAAATGGAATCTGGAACTACTAAAACAATCTATTACTCCTTTTATTTTTTTCATCGGCTTTAATACCACAGAGAAGTCATGATGTTTCCATTACATCAGTCCAAATGCCTCCTTTTTTACCTTTCAAATGCTTTTCATGTAAGGATAGTTTCACTTAGGGACGTATACTACATTTGTTCAAGAGAAGTACACAGAAGAAAAGCACCCTCAAGCCCCCCACCCCCACCCCCCACACAACATTCCCACCTGATCCATACAGCTTCATCGCTTCTGGGTGAGGAGGAAAGCGCCGACTCAGATCTGGTGAGATGTGCCGCTGCATATAGAATGGGTTATATACGTCACAGCTAGTCCCATGCAGGGATGAACTGGTAAGTTCTGCCTTTCGATCTCCAAAAGAGGCTCTGGCTGATCCTGAAAGGAAAGTTTTCCAATGTTTTACATCATCTTTTGCTTGTTTTTTGGCAAAAGACGGTGCTCCCAAGGCAAACAGAAATGTTTCAAGTGATACATATGCACATAGCTTTGGCATCTGAAGAGCCAGCACACATTTATTGAACTCTAACCACGCCAAGTATTACACCTGGGATCCATCACGAGCCCTGTTCTCCAAGCAGTCTGATAAATTTTAGGCATTATTCTTTGCCACATAGACTATTCCTTCTTTTGTAATCTGGTTTTATTTATCTTCTTATACAAGGGACAGCGTTTAAATAAAAAATCATTTCTAGAGATAAAGGCTTTACAAGCAGACAGAGTACTGTCGTATAATTTTGTTCCCCCAAAGTATGTGTCAACTTAGTTTCGTGATGACTGACTCTCAGTGGCTTCCAATTACATAATGATGCATTCAAAAAGTGGTAAGGGCTTGTTTTGGGTAGAGATGCAACACCCTTACTCAGGTTAGCCCCGATGCAATGGAGGGACAGTTTCCCTGGAATATGACTTATATCACCTTTTATCTGACAAAAAATGAAGTAAAGCGAGAGCAGGAAGGGCCTGACTAACACCAAGAGAAAGAAGTGTCCTTTATACCCAGGGTTCCTTACGCTGAGCCCCCCAGACCTAGGAGAAGACTGATGTTAAGGGACATGGAGACCTCTCCAAGGAACGCCAGGCCCCAGATGTTGAAAGGAGACAAGGTCCTTCCCTAACCCCGATAGCAAAAGAAAGCCTTCCCCTAGACTTCTGGCCTCTTGAACTGTGAGGTTGTTGATTTCATTTCTTGGGCCGTGTAATACATAGAGAGTAAGCGTCTTTAAAAAGAAAGAAAGAAATCCTTTCAGATTCCTTATCCCTCAAACCTAAATAATGGTTTGAGTGGCTTAAAAAAAGAAAAGAGGAGGAAAAGTAAAACTGAAATGCTTTAGTGACAAGTTAATTTCAAACACAACAAAACAAAATTTGTTTGTCACAGCCATCCACTTGTGACATTTCCATTACAGCAGTACTGCTTAACTGAAACACACAGTACAGTCATCAAAACTGACCACACGCTGAGAACCACAGAGCAAGTCTCAATGCATTTGAAATGACTGAAATTAATAGAGTATGTTCTCTGAGCACAAGGCAACAAAACTGGGAAGCAAAGAACCAACAAGATGAATCGAATACTTAAGGTAGATCAGTGATTCCCAACCTTCCTAATGCCGCGACCCTTTAATACAGTTCCTCGTGGTGGTGACCCCCAACCATAAAATTATTTTCGTTGCTACTTCATAACTGTCACTTTGCTACTGTTAAGAATCGGGCAACCTCTGTGAAAGGGTCGTTTGACCCCAAAGGGCTCACAACCCACAGATTGAGAACCGCTGACTTATATGGAAATGTAAAGAATAAAGACGACAACAACAACAAAATTCTTTAAGAAGAGCAAGACAGAAAGGTTTTCTCTCCTGGGCATTAAGACTGAGTACAGAGTCATAGAATATTGGCACAATGATAGAACAATGGACCTACACACTGGGGTAGAAGACCCAGAGAGAGGAGTATTTGTAACCACTAGACTGACAACACATGGTGGCACTGTGCAGTAGTGAAGATAGGCTGTTTTTTCAATAAAAGGCGGTAAGACAATTTGAAATCTATATAGAAAACAAATACATTCACCACACCTTACATAGTCTCAAAACAAACAAACTGATTCCAAGTAGACTGTAGATTTATGTAAATCAAATGTTGAAGGCAACTCAATAAAGCTTCTCTATATAAGTCAGCTTACAAGAATACTTTCACAATCTCAGACAGGGAAACACTTAAATGGGACACAACAAGCACTAACTACATTAAAATAAAGTTACACTTTATCCAAAGGTAATCCACAGAGTGGGAGAAGAGATTCTCACAAGCCGAACACGTAAAAGACTCCTACAAATCAAGAAAGAAAAAGATGGAAAAGGGATATGCACATGTGCGCTATGTCAAGAACCTCTGAAGAACAACTATGCCAGTAGTTAATAAACATGACCTGGGCTCAATCTCATTTGTCATGAGGGAAATGCAAGTTAAAACCCCAGAAGACAAAAAAAGAAAAAAAAAAACCCAGAAGATACCACTGTAAACTTCTAAGAATAGTTAAAATTAAAAAGGCTAAAAACAGTAAGCTCTGGCAAGAAACCAGAGCAACATGCCTGCTGTTAACAGGAATGTAAATGGATAAATCACTGTAAAAAAAAAAAAAGAGTGGCAATTTCTACAAGGCTGAAGATATTTATACTCTATGACCTAGCAATACCATTCTGGAATAGAAACCCAAATGAAATACTTGCACACATGCACCAAAAAGTGCACAAGAATATTCGTAACCATTATCATCTGTATTAACTAAAAATTGGAAGAAAAAAACCAACAACCAATGTCCACCAAGGGTAAAATAGATAAACTTTAGTATACAATATTTTAAAATACCATGTAGAATGCTATTCAGGAGCACGGCTGTATGCCATGTTTTATGGAATCCAGTAAAATGGATACATTGTATGACACATATAGAAATGAAAACACGAGTTAAAGCTGCTTCACAGGGAAGGGATAAGTCAAACAGGGAGCAATAAAGCACTGAGGACACACACAATAGTCCTCTGGTTCCTTGAGGCTTCCTCACCCCCCACTATCATGACCCCAGTGCTGCTTCTCACTTTGGACTGGACCAGAGCATGTGCACAGGTACCGATAAGAGATAAGAGCTCAAGACACATGGAATCCAGGAACAGGAATGGGAGTAGTGATACCAGAAGGGTAGGGGGAAGGGGGAGAGAGGAGGGGAGGAAGGGGAAACCGATCGCAATGGCTGACACATAACCACACACACCCCTCCAGGGGGAAGAATCATAGAAACAATGGTGGAAAGGAGACAGCGGTGAGTGTGAGATATGGAAAATAATAATAATTTATAATCTATCAAGGGGTCATGAGGGTGCGGGGGAGGAAGGGAAAAAGAGGAGCTGATACCAAGGGCTCAATATAAAGTAAATATCTAGAAAATAATGATAGCAACATATGTACAAATATTCTTGATACAATTGATGTATGGGCTGTAATAAGAGTTGTAAGAGCCTCCAATAAAATATTCTTTTAATAACAACAAAAAAAAGCTGCTTCTTAAAACTCACTGCTACTGAGTTTCTGCTAACTCACAGTGACCCTATAGGGCAGAGTAGAACTGTCCCTGTGGGTTTCCAAGAATGTAACTCTTTATGGGAGTAGAAAGCCTCATTTTTCTCTTGTGAAGAGGTTGGTGGGTTTGAACTTCTGACCTTGGGGTCAGCTGCCAAACTTCTAAACTAAATATGCCAGGAGAGCTCTTTAATGAATTTCACAAACATAATGTTGAATGAAAGAATCCAAAATCATAAGAATATATACTGAATGTAGAATTGTATTACTATAATGGTGAAAAAGAGGAAGAATTAAACCACAATGTCCAGGAATATGTGGTCTGGTGGGAAAATCAAGAGAGTGATGATTATAGGAATTGGGACAATGATTCCTCTGGGTGGCCGAGATGGAGGGGGCACTGGCTGAAAAGGGAGTATGAGTAAGGTGGCTAGCAATATTCTACTTCTGGGTGGTGGCTCCGCAGGTGTCTTGCTTTGTCATACATCATTAAATTGATGCAGTTCCCAGTGTCTTAGAAGCTTTCAAATGACCACCCAGTTGGTTTCTATTCACTTGGAACAACAGAGGAAGGAATAATAAGAAGAGAGAGAATGTATGGCTAATTGCCTCCGGGAATAACTGTCTCCTTTGCCATGAGAACAGAACTGGATGGTGTCTGGCTACTACCAGGGAACATTTTGTCACAGATTCGACAGAAGATTCCTGATGAAAAGGGGAACAATGTGGAGGGTGGATTTTTTTACTTCTCATGCTTTCCAGACTTTCTGGAACCATGGTGGCTGGATGAGACTATTGCCCTGAGACAATCTTATAATAAAACAAAAGTTTAGCTTAGCTACTAAAAAATTTCTGACTTGAGTAGTAGTATGCTCTTTAAAGAACTATTTATGCAGGATTAACTTGACAGCAACAACTTAAAAGATAAGATAGGAACCTTATAGGGCATGAAGTATATGATAAAGGGGAAGAAACCACTCAAAAATGGAGAACAGTTGTACAGCCTGAAGAATGTAATCAGTGTCCCTGGAATGTACATGGAGATAGAGGTGAGCGTTGAACTGTGTGTGTTTGCTGCGTATATTCTCAACAAAACCAAAATAAAAGCCCATCAATAAGACATTGCACAGTAAGTTTATCTACTGAAAGAGCAGAGTATGAACTGTTATGTGCATTTCTATAAATTTTATTTCAGAAGCAAAATAACCCACTAGCAGTATTTAAATGCTGCATATTGGTTTTAAAATTCTGCCATTTTGTTGCTTACCTTCAAGTTCTTCCATATGGGAAGGAGTTCCTTGTGTCCTGGGCTGAACATAAGATAACCTAAACTTTGGTACCACAAACGGTACTTCTTTGCCATCAGATGGTAATTTAGAAAGTAAATAATCCTCAGTGCAGCCAACCTGAGGCTTTACAGAAACAGAGGCCAGTGGAGGTGTACAGATGGTGGTGTGTTGGCTACTTAGGGCTGCTCCCTTGAAGTCTCCTTCCATGGAAACTACATAAAATAAAATAAAAAAGAGAAAAGGACAAGTGACAAATATGCCTGTGGATTTATATACAACCACCCAAAGCCAACGTGTTTGGGTACTTGTTTAATCATTCAAGATTAGATTCCTGATACATAAACTACCCTTGGGTCCTATCAAGCACTTTTGGAAACCACATTAATTCTGTCCAGCCAATATTCCAGCAATTAATGGATGATTGCCAGAATACATTAGGTTATCATGATGCTAAAAGCAGGTTTTAAAGAGTCTCATTCCCAGAAGAGTCCATTAATGGAAAACAAGTTTATTTTGTAGCTAATTCCAAAATAGTCACTTAAAAATACTGCCAACAAATTCTTGTTGTTAGTACTACTGTTTAATATCACTCTTAAGTATTTCAACAAAGTAATTCTTAGAAGAAGCTGAAGGTCTCCAAATGTACAAATAATCCTCATCAAATCATAAGATGTACAGTGATCCTAGATAGACATCATAATAGCAGACCCCTTGTCCAAGCTTCTAAGCCCGATTTTATCACTTCCCACAAGACAGGACTTCTAAGTGGCCGAGCCTAAAAGAGGCAGTCTGGGATGCCCAGAGTTCATCTTTATGTGCATTTACTACCATCCACAGACTGAGTTAAAGTCCAACCAATATAGTCTTTGAACGGCTGTTCTTCCCAACTACCATCTTCCCTAAACACTTAGAATAACCAAAGAGAGACTGACAGGGACATGGAGTACAGGAAAGTTCCTATGGCTAGAAAAACCAAATCACTGATTATTGTTGATCACTGAACTCCAGGTTTCATACAACCCAGTTTTGCTGGCATTCTCCCTATGCCACTTGTAATCCAATAAGGCTCTGCAGTTAACAACAAAAAGTGCAACCAGTAATGTACTGAACTGTATAAAATGTCTTAATGTTAAAAATGGGTTTCATGCACAAATATACTAAGAAGCACTGTAATACACTAAGAATTGAAAGAAAAAGCCAGAGGAAAACAGAGGCCCAGTCACCCCAAAAGAGACAGAAACTTCCAGGGATCACGGATGGGTTATGGGTCTTGATAGCGTTAGGGGTCCTTCACCACCCTGTCCCCAATGGTCATTTATTTACAAAGGATAATTTTAAAGGCACTGCCCATAAACTTCACAAACCTGGTGAAAACAGTGAATTAAGCATTAGACTGCTAAACCAGAAGACTGGCAGCAGTTCCAACCTGCCAGCCACTCAACGGGAGAAAGGTAAAGCAGTCTGCTCCCACAGAGATCGGCAGCTTCAGAAACCCCAAGGATCAGCTCTACTCCATCCTACAGGATCACAGAGTTGAAATCAACTCAGGGGAAGTGGAACTAATGGTTCATACATTTTAAAAAGCCCCCAACGCTCTTCTATCCCTGCCTCAGGCTGGAGACTTGAATGGGCAGGTCTGATTCTGGACTTCCCTCACGTCTTTCTTCCCACTCTCCTCCCTAGAACCCAGTTCAGATTTCCACACCACACTCTATCTTCTTTGAGGCAATGTCCCAAGGTGCTCCTTGGGTTGGGTTTATTTCTCTTCCCTTTGTTCGCCAGTATTGGAAGTATCGGAATACTTCTAGTAGGCTTTCTCTTTATGTGTCTGCCTCCCCACGAATACAGACATCCCTTGAAATATACCTAGTATAATTTTTAAGACCACAAGTAAATGTATTTTGAAGTGAAAGCAAAATAAACAAGAACTCACGGTTGTGCTTTTCTGTTTCACCATAGAAACACCCCCGACAGCAACTCTTTAAAAATTCTGTTGCCATTACATACAGCTTCCAAAACCCAGCAAGAGAGACAGGCTTCCAGCTTTAATGTTAATCTGGTGGTAGGACAGAAAACAAGTTAAAAATGATTATGCTTGTGCCAGTAGATATCACTAAATAAATTCCCCTATCTATCTTTTTAATTAGTAAATTAAAAGCAGGAATAAATTACTATGTTCTCTTTTTGGTTGTTGTTCCCATATGTCATTCTGTAGCATGCAGGCTTCTTAAAGTTATTACAATCCTATGCTTCAAGAATCCCCAAATGAATAATCTCAATGTTAAACATATTTGTAAAGAAAATATATGGACCTGATAAGAAATATGCTATGAATTTTACTTCCTCAGCTGTTGCCAGGTGCCATCAAGTCAGTTCTGACTCACAGCGACCCATGTACAGAGAGGAACACTGCCGGGTCCTGCACCATCTTCACCCTGGTTCTTATGTTTGAGCCCATTGTTGCAGCCACTGTGTCAGTCCATCAGGGCAAGGGGCTTTTTCACTGCCCCTTTATGTGAACTCTCTTGTACCCCAAAGGTCCTAGAATGGGGGCAAGTCAACAAACAGCTATACACTGTATTAGTTTAATCCTTAGAATTATACTAAGATGAAAGGATGTCTTAAACATTATAACACACATACACACATCCAGAGACTAGTTCAACAAAAGGCAAGTACAGTACTGTGCAAATAAAGGGACCCTGTTTTAAATTGATCAGGATCATAAATGGTACAGAAATTTCACACCCAAATAACACAAGATGCAGTTTTCCACGGTGCTCTCAAGATTTTGCTCCAAAGGCACTCTCTTCATTTTTGCCTACTTAAGCCATGTGTATTTTCTAAGGAAACTTCAAACATATACAAAAGAAGAGATTACCTAGATTAAACAAGTAAAGACTCACAGAAAATTTTATTTCATCTCTACCTCCCGACTTTCCCTGCCTTTTGCATTACTTTGAAGCAAATTCTAATTCACATAGTTGCACCCATAAATATTAAGGTAGTTATTGCTGGTGTGAACTGCCAAGGTTTGGGTTACTTGTTGGGCTACCAAATCTCACCCATTGCCATCAAGTTGATTCTGACTCTGGAACAGAGAGTAGAACTTCCCTTTGGGGTTTCCAAAACTGTAAATCTTTACAGGAGGAGATAGCCTCATCTTTCTTCTAAGGAGTGGCTGGTAGGTTCAAACCACTGGCCTTTGGGTAGCAGTCCTACGTGTAAAGATTATGTCACGAAGACACCAAATCGTGGATACTTATTCTGATTTTAATGCTTCTATTCAGTAAGATCCATGTCATCTTTTGATTTAACAAATCAAATAAATAAAACAAAACAAATAAATTTTATTTAAGAACAATTGAGAAATGTTTTAATTTTATCAAAAGTCATGAGATCATGAAGTAACTCTTAAAGGCTGGGGAGACGTCATGTTCATGTCTGTATCCCCACCGATGTCCTGCAAGTCAACTACCGGGCCCGTAGCAACAGTTGAACAAATATTTGCCAATATGACTCATTCTCCAACTGGTCCTTCAAGTTTCCCAGAGTGAGCACACTAATCAAACATAAATGTATACATCAAAAATGTTTTAAATGTAATATCAATGTTTAATAGGGAAAAAGTTGGGGCCATCTGCTTCTATAAAGATTTTCAGAAGAGGCAGTTCTATTCTGTCCTATCTGACAGCTGTGAGCTGGAATCGACTTGATGTTTAAACAAAGAGACTAAAATTAAACGTTTTGCTTAATATTTAAAGCATCATGTACAATTTACCTTGAATTGTAAGCTTCAGAATGAAAGGTAGGGAGAAAAGTGCATAAAATAAAAATATGTTGGTGTAAAACAAACCCCACAGGGATAATTAATTCTACTAAAAGGTTATGGCAAGAGGACTTCAGGATTAACTTCAAGGGGCTTTCTCACTGGCAGCGGAGGGGAATCAAAGCAAGCAGTGGGCTGAAACCACCATTATTACCAAACTGATTCTGACTGAGGCCGGCCCCAGGTCTGTCAGACTAGAACTATGCGTCTCAACGTTTCCAATGGGCGGTTTTTTTCAGGAGCAGATTGCCAGATCTTTCTTCTGGGGGACTTCTGGGTAGATCTGAACTTCTGGCCGGAGGTTTTCAGTTAGCAAGTGTGCATGTTAACCCTTTGTACCACTCAGGGACTCCTCTAACTTATCAAATACCTTTTAACAAGGTAAAGACGTGTTAAAAAACATACCTCTAATAGCCTTCCCACATCTAAAAAATTAATATCAACTACCCAGTCACTGTTCAAATTTCATCCATTTTAGATTTTTGCTATTATAAGTAGTGCTAAAAGACATTTTACACCCCTATTTTCAGATATTTCCTCATACATATGTGAGAGATTCCAAGTGATAGGATTGCTGGGTGAAAGTATAAATACATAAGTAATTTTTCTTGCTTAGAAACCACCAGCCACTTCGTGGGAGAAAGATGAGACTTTTACTCTTGTAGAGTTACAGTCTTAGAAACCTAAAGGGACAGTTCTATTCTGTCAGTTAGGGTTGACTGGATAACGGTGAGTGTGAAGAGGCTCAAAGATCAATCATGATAGTGGAGGTTAGTCTCAACTTGGCTGGGCCAGGATTATCGGTGGTTTGGCAGGTGAGGCCTACCCTGTTTCCCCGAAAGTAAGAAATTCCCCGCAAATAAGACCTACTTACAGTTTTGCCTCTCACTGAAATATAAGGCATCCCCCCCGAAAATAAGACCTCC